GATGCAATGTCTTTTCTCAGATTTTAAAGCCAAGAAAGCTTATAATTTCATGAATGGCATTTATAATGACAACACTTTTCCTGATGCTGGTTCAAAAACTAATTTAAATGCAGACTTTAAATTCCTATGAATGCAGGCAAAAACACACTGAAATGTTCAAGAATTATATTGATACTTATATGGCCTAATTCTTATAAAGACTTTCATGTTTGAAGTGATTTGTAAAGACACTTGCAGTTTATTCTCATTTGATACATCTGATATTCTCACCATTTGTTTTTTTTTTTTTTTTATTATTATACTTTATAGCAACATATAAGACATTAACTATACATGTATAAGGACGACAGTTTCATAGAATTAAATTTCTTTTTAGTTTGTTTAAATAATTGTTTCAATATACCTGGTAAGCGGAACATTTTAAGTGATAAAAAAGGCAGTTTTTTTTATTGTCTGCCTTTGAGGTTAATTATTTATTTTTTATTTTTTGCTTATTTCAGGTCACTTCAAGGGGAGATAACTTAAAAATGTAATTCTGAAAAAAAAAAATTTTTACTTATTCTTTATGTTTTCTGGTTGTTCTTTTTTTCAATTTATCGTTGCTACATGACAAATATAAACTTTATTCAATTCCATGAAACACTATTGATAGTTTTTGAGTGTGTGTTTTGCTGCTTTTTATTTATCATGAGAAAAAAATTATGAAAATTTGAGCAATGTCTTGACGGGATTCCTCTTGCTTTACAATTAAGTCCGACAATAGTATATTAGCAAATACTGTAGTTTAAATAAATAAGCACTAAATGAAATCCCCATGCTTATAATTATGCATTTGACCATTTTTATTTATTATACTAATAATGTACCTTTGGTCAAAATGGCAACGCATAATTCTGGCATTCTGATAATTAGAACTTATACAAGGTTAATTAGTCCTCCTTACTTAATATTGGTATTTTCCTATCATCCTGATTTACCAATTACTAATGTGACAACAAATTAGTATAAATCTGCTATATTGTTATCTATAACCAAATTACTTTTTCTGCCTTGGTGAGTCAAAAAACTTCTTTAGCAGCTTCATTCTGAATTCTATGATTTTTTTTTTAGTATTATAGGGACATTCTCCAACCATTATATAACTCAATGTTTTTTTTGTGTTTTTTTTTTCGTATCTTCAGTATCAGTTGGATATTCTTCAACAATTGCTGTAATTTCTATTATTCTATGGTGGTTTTTTTTCTATCTTCAGTAATAATTCTAATTTATAGGGTTGTAAATTCTAATACTCAATGATTTTTTTGTGCTTTAGGGATGTTCTCCAACTGCAAATTCTATTATTGTAGGGTGTATTTTTTATCTTCAGTATTATAGGGACATTCTCAAATTGTAAGTTCTTAGAATGATTCTTAGTATGATTTTTTTTTATCTTCAGTATCAGAGTCTAAGGATTATTAGCATTCTGAAACTGTAAATTTTAATCATTATAAAGAAAAAAATCTATTTGAGCAAATTTTTGGTAACAAAAGAGTTTCAAGAAGCTTTAATTCCCATGTTCACTGTATTTGGTCTATTATACGAATTTAATATATGAGCCGTGTCACGACAAAACCAACATAATGGGTTTGCGACCAGCATGGATCCAGACCAGCCTGCGCATCCGCGCAGTCTAATCAGGATCCATGCTGTTCGCTTGCCAACTCTATTACAAGTAGAGAAACTGACAGCGAACAGCATGGATCCTGATCAGACTGCGTGGATGCGCAGGCTGGTCTGGATCCATGCTGGTCGCAAAACCACTATGTTGGTTTTGTCGTGACACAGCTCATATTTCCTTTTAATTAGTTCAGTAAACATATTTTATTCATAAATAAAGCTTAATATATAAAGCAGAATTCACACATTGAAGCCTCACATAGAATCATGTACATAATTATATATATAAATACCTCATTTTGTCATTCTATCATTTCTATATTGATGCAAATAAACCATTTCATGCAATTTGCTTAAACATATCAATGATATAAATAAGCCTCTTTCTTCAATCTGTAAAAACAATCTTTGTCTTTCTAAAACCTAACACAGCTTCTCTGATAGCAGACAATGAAAGATGCAATATTAACAATCCGTCAAGTCAGCTTTCCAGAACACTTTACTTTTCCCAGATAAAATCAAATAATCATTTTCCAGACAGTTTCACATCAAAACAAAACCTTTTTTAAATAGAAATTATATCACTAAACATTATATTACAAATGAGGCAAATTCTACACTGTATTAAGTAAATGAATTTAACAATTGTTGCAATAAACTCATGAAATAAAGATTTATCCAGATTACTGATAATGGTATTTCTTAAAGATGGCAAAATAATTGTCAGTCACTCTAAGCTTAAAGGGACTTCACTGGGGTTTTCTCTTAGTCATTAAGGGACTGGATTTTTTTTTCAAGAACTGTGCACTAAATGATTAAGATCAAGACCAATAACTTGTGTGAATTTTTTTTTACATAAATTGCTCACTGCATTCTATAAATAATCATTTTTATTGTTCAAAATCACCTAATAATGAAAAGCATTTTAAAAGCTTTTAACTCAACTTTTAACTCAAGTCAGCCTTTAACATACACACCCAAAAAATAATTAGTCTTTATTTATGTTTTTTTTTGTCCATCAAGTCCATCAGTTGATCTAATTGCAAAAATTTCACATTTTAAATTTTTAAACTATTAGATCTATGTGGCCTTTCCTTTAAGCTAAAATATACTACCCTGAACAAAATAATTAAAACAAAATTTGGAATCCCCCATTGGAAGCAAAAAAAAATTAAAACCAATCCAAAACTTGTTTTGTGGTCAAAGTTAAATAATTAATCAAGTTCTTTTTTCTCTCCCCAAGACAGGACAATTTAATCAATAGGCAAAGCCTTATTTGTAATCATTTTTCACTTAATTAATTAGCTTTTCCTATACAGTTAAACACATTAGCTAGCAAAAGATCTTAAGGTCTAATCATTGAGTTTAACTTAAAGTGAATTGGTCTACAATGGGCACATTTTTATTAAACTTTTTAAAAATTGATAAAAACTATAGAAATTATCATTTGGATATTCCTTTAAAATGTTGCTTGAAAGAAAAATTGTTGATAAAGTTCTAAGCTGCCTCAGGAAGTCCTAAGTTTCTCAAGAAGTCCCAAATATGTACTTAAAAGCTGCCTCAGAAAGTCCCAAAGATATACTTTTAACTTCTCAGGAAGTCCCAAATATATACTTTAAACTGTGTCAGGAAGTCCCAAAGATGTACTTTAAGCTGCTCAGGAAGTCCCAAATATATATCTTAAACTGCTTCAGGATGTCCCAAGATGTAGTCATGTACTTTAATCAGCCTCAGAAAGTCCAAAATATGTACTTTAAAATGCTTCAGGAAGTCCAAAATATGTACTTTAAAATGCTTCAGGAAGTCCAAAATATGTACTTTAAAATGCTTCAGGAAGTCCAAAGATGTACTTCAAGCTACTTATTGGGAAGTCCCAAAGATGTATTTTCAAGAAGCTTTAAGTTATCAAGCTGATCTGACAGGCAGTAATGTTTGCTACATGAAAAAGCTCATGATATTCAATGATAAACTAAAATAGATGATCATCTGTTTCTATAAACATCCCAACTCAAATCAATTTGCTTGATGAAATCAGATTTTTTAAGCCGAGACATAAAACAGAAATCTGATGTCAAATTTACATATCTGTGGAGACTTCATTGAAGAAGTTGAACAAAATTGTGTTACCATATTAAAAGTACAAGGATTCCTGCAGCTCAGTACTAATAATGGATAAAAAATTTAAAAACCAGGTCAAAAATAGTGAAAATTCGAAGAAAGGAAAAATAAAAGGAAAATTTAAAGCCTGAGCAAAAAAAAACTTAAGGAAATGCCAAAAAAAAAATCTTTTTTTTTTTTATTTCAGACAAGAATAACACAAACAAATACTTTAAAATCTGAAAAAATACTCCGAAACATCTGAATGCCCTAAAAAAAAATTCTCATTCTGCAAAAAAATCGTAAAATATCCCTTTCTCCTTAAAATTTTACCACAATCTTAGTTCCATGTAAATTATTCTGTGTACTTATAAAATCTATCGGCTTAATGAGCAACATCTTAAAATTGAGAATCAATCTTGAACTGAATCGGGGAAAATTGCTGATGGATTTAAAATGTCATTATTCGCTACTAAAGTACACATTTAGTTTCATAACGCTTTTCCCTAATTAACTCCTTAAAAAAAAAATTTTCAAAAAAAACGTTCTCAATGAATTGCTCGTAATTGATCATCAATGTATTCTGATGCATTTCGTTCCTGTTCTATTAACCAATTAACATTGTCATTGAAATAGACATGATAATCTACGGTCACCAATTAGTACCATTTATTCATATTCTTTCATTCACGGAAGTCGAGGTATGGCATGACATCGTGTCATGGCACAACATGACATCACAACAGGAAAAGCATGAAACAAACTGTTAATGATGACATTTAGAGAATTTTTCCTCGTTTTTTTCATTTTCTCATTACTTAAAATCCTCAAGACACAGATAACAATATATACATTATATAAATAAGATACGTTATGGATGATATTATCAAATTGCTAAATTGGAGTCTTCGATAACTGTTCCAACTTGAAGTAAACAAGTGCAGACTCACAACTTTAATTTTTTTTTCACTTTTAATTCCTTTTGTAATAACAAAAAGAATAACTTTTCATTTTCCATATAATAAAAACTGATTGACAAAGTAAGTAATAAAGAAGGCATATTCAGCCAGGGTTTGTAGAAATTTTTTTCTTTTCAGCATTTTTTTCTCTCTCAGAACTTTGCATCTGAGTGTTAAATGCTTTAATATTTTAAGAAAATATAAACAATTGCTCACAATAATAAAGCTAAATAGATATTTTGTATGTTTCATGTATTTCAAATTTTACGTTATTTATAATTTCAGACTGTTTCAAAATGGCTGACAATATCACAGATACCAATGCCTCCAGTGAACAAATGGAGCAATGTGGCTCCCCGACAGTCGTAACGTTTCAGTATTACGCATGGGGAATAGGTGCCAACATCATCTCTTGCTTCGGAATTGTGGGTAACATTTTATCGATAATGGTCCTAAGTCACAGACAGATGAGAAATTCTACATCATACTACCTGATATCGCTGGCTGTTTACGATATGATTTTGTTGCTATTTATGTCACTCTTTCTTGCGTTACCGACAATTTACCTAGAAAAAGATCTCTTGGAAGGATACTATTTTGCATATCGCTACATGCACCCCTTTGTGTACCCCGTTGCTTTAATTGCTCAAACAGGAACTGTTTATACAACTCTAGCCTTCACTGTGGAGCGATATATCGCTGTGTGTAAACCTCTCCATGCCGCTAACACATGTACTATGTCTCGGACAAAACGTGTAATAGTAGTTATATTCATTGCTTCAATTGTGTACAATATTCCACGATTCCTGGAATACAAAACCACGACCATATGGGACGACTACTACAATCGAACAATTCCGACAATCGAGTACACGACCATAGGAAGTAACAAGATGTTCCAGGAAGTGTATTTCATATACGCATATTTGTGTATCATGTTTCTACTACCATTCAGTGTATTAACAGTTTTAAACATTCTGTTGATACAAGCTGTTCGTAAAGCTCGTGCTAAACGAAACTGTATGAGCTCTTCAAACTCCAAGGACACCAACCTGACCGTAATGCTCATAGTTGTGATCAACGTTTTCCTCGGGTGCCAGTTACCAGCCCTGATTGACAACATTGTTTTTGCGATATTCGACCATCATGTTTTACAGTGTTCGGTGCCGTGGGTCCAATTTACCACTATCAGTAACTTACTAGTAGTGTTTAACTCTGCCATCAACTTTATCCTGTACTGTTTGCTAAGTAAACGCTTCAGACGATTGTTTCTGAAAAGATTCTGTATTCGGAAAAAAAGAACCAAAGTTCAAGTACATGTATTCAGTGCGCCAGAGTTCAGTTTACATACGGAATGGACATATTCGTGTGTATGGAAACAACACGACCAATGTGTTTGATGTCACGACATCATTGCTATGACCCTGTTGCATTATCTAATTCAACCAAATGGCAATATACCTACATCTAGCTAACATCTTATTTCTAACTATTGGAACTAATCATAGTTAGCAAATATATATATTAAAATAAAAAAAAATTTTTTTCAAATACAAGGTTGTTAAATTTGTGACATTCAGTATTCATGAAAATTATGTGGCATGTAGAATATAATCCATTTTGCATTGATGAAATAAAAAAACAACACCTGTTTTGAGAAGGTCATGATTGCAAAACCTGGTTGACTAAAAAATTATTGTTCATTTCAAAGTATAAGTCATTCAATATGCACATTCAAAATAGCCAAAATTTACTTAATTTTTTTTAAACAGTATATAAATTTAGTATAGGATCATGATATTAATAGCATCCCTATCTGATTAATCTAACTGGCTGAGATTAGAATTCTCGTTTTCTTTTTTAGTTCACCTGCTATGGATAAACAACCAAAAAGGCATACTCTTTTATCTTAAGCAAATTAACCAAATGAAATAGTAATGATATTCATTGCATTTCCTTTGGGAAAAAAACTATGATTAAGAAAAATCTTAGGAACAGCCGAGTGCTTTTTTCTGTTACTACTTCCTTTCTTAATTTGGCCACAACATCATTTTCAATTATCCTCGTCTTAACCTACAACTATCGTTAAGCAAATAGCTCATCATTATCGAGGACGAAATTTGTTAGGGGGGCGATAAAATTGTTCGGAACACACATTTCTCACAAGACCTTTGTACTTTGTCCCATTAATTTGCTTACTGTGCCAAAACAGAATATGACCAGCTGTCGGATGATGAATTGTCCACTGTCCACCGCTCCCGCAGGAGTAATAACTCTATGTAATCCTTTATGACAACATTACGCCACGTCTTTTCATGAAGCTCTTATCTGTCTCTGATCATGAATACGGTCACTTATTTAATTGTAAGTTAGTTGATTGCTCAGGCTAACTTCCATTCCGATATGACGTTACTATAAATAAACTGATAAGCTTTGCAGATTATATTATTTTCATCTGTTTTGTAGATCCCATTCACCATTCGAATATTAAAGCTATCATTTTTTAAGTTAAAAAAATAAAAGGTTATGACTAAACACATAAAAAAAGGGCTTTTAATGAACAATAGGAGTAAAAACAATTGTTACAGTTGACTTTCAGAAAATAGTACAGCATTAACAATGGTTATATAAAATTTTTGCTTCTGCAATATATACAGTCAAGACTGTCATAAAAGAGAGCTAAAGAAAAGCAATAATGTAACATAGTGTCTCTTTAATACAGTCACAAAAAAAAGATGTTAAGATTTTCAAACCATTATTAAATTACAAATAAAACTGAATCTACCATTAAATCACATATAAAACTCAGATTCCAGGTTTGAAACAAGATTGCATTTGTAAAAAATGCTATGCCACCGCATAAATACAACACTAAAATAGTAATGTAGGAACAAATTTTTTTTTGTTTTGACCCAAGGGCTTTAATTTGAATAATCTTGCTAAAGTTTCACTACACAATGTTTACTGCAAAATGTCTCACCTCTAGCCTTTGTCAATTCGAGAAGGTGATTTTTTTTAAAAGTTTTTTACTATATACATGTAAAGAAAACCTGATGACCCCCGGGGCAGGGCTAGTATTGAGACTAGAAGGCAAAATTTGAACAACTTTGGTAGAGTACCTATAGATGATATCATATACCAAATATCAAAAGCTCTAAAGCCTTGTACCTTCAGACAATAAAAGATTTTTTTTAATTTTTTACTATATGTACATAGTGAAAATCAAATGACCCCCGCGGGTGGGGCCAATTTTGACCCCAGTGCTATAATTTGTTCAATCTTGCTAGAGGTTCACTACACAATGTTTCATGCAAAATATCTAACCCCTTGCCTTTGTCAATTTAGAGAAGATGATTTTTTAAGTTTTTACTATATACATATGAGGAAAACTATGAACCCCCCCCGGGGCAGGGCTAATTTTGACACTAGAGGCAAAATTTGAACAACTTTGGAAGAGTACCTATAGATAATAACACGTACCAAATATCAAACCTCTAAGCCTGGTACCTTCAGACAAGAAGGTATTTTAAGTTTTTACTATATGTACATATAGTGAAAATCAATGACCCCCGGGGCGGGGCCGATTTGAACCCCAGGGCTATAACTTGAACAATCTTGGTAGAGGTCTACCAGACAATGCCTTATGCAAAATATCTAAGCTCTAGGCATTTTGGGTCTTTACAAGAAGATTTTTTTAATTTATTCTTATAATTCCTTTTGGTTGCCATGGCAACCAGAATTCTGCATGGAATGAAATTCTTTGAACAACTTTGGAAGGCCTTCACCCAAGGATCAATCCTGCCAAGTTTGGTTGAAATTGGACTAGTGGTTTTTCACAAGAAGATTTTTTAAGTTCACTATATAATCTATATAACACACACACACACAAACAAACACACACACAGGTGAATCGCTATATGCCACCGCATCGCAGATGCTGCGGTGGCATAAAAATTATGTTACATAATTATATAGTTATCTTAATGATTCACAAAAATTACAATTTTCCCAGTAATTGTGAGTCTTATGATAAAATTTTCATACCTGGCCGACTGTCTTTGCCCTTTTTTCATGATAGGAATAAACAAATACTTTTCTTTTCTCCTCCATGATAAAGCAATTATCGTGCCAATTTCTTGGAAACACTTTTCCGGCGCTGTATTTGGTGACAAGAATACATTGTTGTTTTTATTCTTCTTGTGATATGGCACTGCTGGCTTGGAAAGATACGATGATGATGTGATACATATATTATTATATATTTATGGTGCGAAAAATATTTACAGGACTCTGTGGAATCCAATTGTCAGTTTCATTGACAAAAATATGTGCATGTATATATATATATATAGGTCAACAATTGACAATTTCGGTCAATTTCAGCTTTGAGTTTAGAGCATGACAATTTAGGACAAACTAAGGTATTATAGACAATTAAGATTATTTGAGAAAAGTAAAGTGCAAGTCTTAATGACTTGGATAATGTGACATTTAATTTGTACTTGGTGGGGCTTAATTTGATTTGGATACTGTAACAGCTGAAATCCTAAGGCCATCCTTAAAAAAATGTTTGTTTGCAGTAACGCGACCGACTCACAAAATTTGCCCCAACTCATTTTTTTTTTCATGGTTAGGATAAAAAATTATTTTTTTTTGGAATCAAAAAATTATGCCTTGTGCTTTGTTTTTGTTCTTTTAAAGGTTAATAGAAGAAATAAATGTAGGTCTTATTAAATTAGAATTCATTTTTAAATTTTTTAATTGTTACCAGATAAACAAAGCATATATTCTCCAGCATTTTGAAATTCTATGTTTATCACACACCCATGCCGATTTTGCGACTCCGTAAAAATGGTATTGCACAGCCGTGCATATATTTTGACGTGACGTCATTAGCGTTATACAAACATAGTGTAAAGACGCGCTAAATGTTAGCGTTATACTATAGGCGCGTCAATGAAAAATGACAATTATTTCACTTTAAACGGTCTTTATTTTGGGTATGTGATAAATAGAATATAAAATTTGTGTAAGTTCAATACTAAATTAATTGCACGAGTTGAATAAAATTATATTATGCGAGCCTCTATGTTTATTTGGAAGTACAGTTCAATAAAAAAAAAAAAATCGACCTACCTACCCACCTTGAAAATTCTGGGTCGGGTTACTGCAAACAAACATTTTTTTAAGGATGGCCTAAAGTACTAAATGTTTTGGTAAAATATGTCATTCAAGGTAACTGCATGATTTGATTTTTGTTAAATGCAATCATATGTCTTTGACAAAAATATAAGGTTTTGTATCAAAATGGAGGTGAAATTGTTCAAATATGGTTTATAGTAAAGAAAGTTGTATAGTATATGATTTCTATTGTTTTTGTTATCAATTATGAATGCCAATTTTAATAGCATTTCTTAATTATTGTATATTTGATCCCTTCTATTGTTTTGTTTATAAATTCTACAAAAAATAAAATAAATTTGTGATTCATTGAAATGTTTTGCTCTTCTATTCCATTAATAGAATGCAAACATGAAAGTTGCGTTCATTGCGATTCTTACAATGTATTTAATGACAATGATTTCAACCAATATTAAAATGGTAGATTGACATAAATATTATATGTTTTTGTTCATTTGATGATAATTATGAATGTGCTTAAAATTCTCTAGGTCCTTTTGAATTTTCTACCTGTCGGATTACAACATTTTGTGTATTCAAGTGCGAGCATTTTAAATTAAACATTTTAAAGAAGCTCACTAAAAAACACATATACTGGCTTTTATAATGCGGCTATTTAAATACAAAATATATTCACATCTTTTTATTTGTTTTTAAAGGACTTTTAAAGGGATATTGTAAGTTAATGCTTTTTTTTAAGGAAGGAATACATGTATCAAAAATTGACAGATGTGTAAAATATAAATTTCAATCAGACATGGAAACAACAAACTTTAATAACTTAAGCATAAGTTAAAGTACTGCATGGAATGCTACTTAAACGCTTTCAACTCTAATTCCAGAAATCTGCCAAGAATTTGAAAGTACTGGGCCCTGGGCCCACTTGGTCTGAAAATGATGGGCCATTTTTACCAAAGTATGGGCCTTGGGAAAACAAGTAAACATTGACCAAAATAACTGTTAAAAAGTTTGTAGATAATTGAATTTCCCTTGTAATAAAACTTAAATAATATTTTATGACAAGTGGTTCACTTATAATTCAGTACTTAACCAACAATTAAAAACAAGAGCCATGTCAACATGGCCACCCCCCGCCGAATGTGTTTGCTCATTGGAAGAATGTATATGTAGTAGAGCAGAATAATTCCATTTTAAGAGGTCTTTTGGTAATGAAAACTGATGGCTATAGTGATTACAGATTTAAAACCTATGTGAATACTGATGGCTGAAAATAACAAAGAGCAATAACTGAAAAATAATGCAGGATAGGTTATCATTCTTGTGTGCTGTATCCCTCCTCAGTAAAATATA